AATGTCAAGCCAGTTATACCACCCTTTTGTTTAAAACCTTTCAGAGGTTTCTTATTGCTTTTAAGATAAATATCAAAATCCTGTAAGGCCTGCATGACATGGCCCTTGCCAACTACCAACCATAACTCATGTCACTCTTGTCTCTCCTTGCTCTCTAAATAAGACCATCTGTGAATGTGCCACCTTTCCTTCTGCCAGGGGTTCTTGAGCAAGCCTCTGCCTGGAATGCTCTTTATTTCTTATTAACCTGCTCAGTTAATCCCCAGTCTTCTTTCAGATACCCAGATATCAGATATTCTTCCTTTAGAAAACCCTCCTTGACCTCCTATATTCAGCTGGATTCTCTTATTATATGTTCTCACAGCATCTTTTCTGTTACTGAATAGTATTCTGCTTTATCGATATTTTATGTTTTATTAATCCATTCACCTGTTGATAGACATTTTTTTTCCCTTCAGTTTTTGGCTTGTGTCAATAAAGCTGCTATGTACATTGTTGTTTAAGTCTTTGTGTGAATGCGTGTTTTCTGTTCTGTTGGGCAAATACCCAGGAGTATATTGACTAGGTTGTGTGGTAAACTTTTTGTTTAACTTTTTAAGAAACTATCAGTTTTCCCAGGGGGCTATACCATTCATTTTTATCCCCACCGGCAATTGTGAGCATTCCCACGGCTCCACATCATCACCAACATTTGTTACTTGTTAGTCTTAAGTTTTAGGCATTCTAATTAGCGTGTCATGGCATCTCATTGTGGTTTGAATTGGCATCTCCCTGATAACTATTGATGTTGAGCATCTTTTCCAGTACTTATTGGTCTTTTGTGTATCTTCTTTTGTGCAGTGTCTGTTCAAGCCTTTTGCCTATGTTTTAAAATTTGGATTATCTTCATATTATTGAGTTTTGAGAGCTCTTTATTATGTTCTGGGTACTAGTCATCTGTTAGATATATGTATTACAATCATTTTCTCTTGCTCTATGACCTGTCTTTTCATTTACTTAATTATTCTTGAAGAACAAAAATTTTGAATTTTGATAAAGTTTAATTTATCTAGTTTTTCTCTTATGGGTTGTGTTTTTATGTCCTGAGAAATCTTTTTTTAAATTTTTTATTGGGGGATGGAAACAGCACTGGGGAATTGGGGGAAGGGGAACAGACAAGTTGCTGTCGTTTTGTTCTTCAGTCTAGTTGTGGAGGACGTT